TTTGTTCTTTTGTGTGCCCCCAGCTCCTCGGCCCGGGGCTTCCTGGAATCAGCCGCTGATCTGTTTCAGCAGCTGCTGACTTGGGGACCCCTGGGGCAGAGCAGCTGGGGTGCTGCTGGGTTGGTCCAGTGGCGCCCAGAGCGGCGCTACGGGACCAACCAGCAGCGCCCCAGCTGCTGTACCACAGGTGTCCGGAGCAAAGCCGTGGAGCACGGGGGCAGCGGGACAGCCCAGACGCGCCGTGGCTTTCCTGCTGCCCTCGGGCTCCGTGGCTTTGCTCTGCTTTGCTCCCGGCCCCTCTGGTCTACAGACCAGGGGGACGGGGAGCAAAGCGGCGGAACACGCGGCCAGCTGACAGCGTAACTCTGGGACTGCCTGTACCTTGACTTTAGCAAGGCTTTTGATACGGTCTCCCACAATATTCTTGCCAGCAAGTTAAGGGAATGTGGACTGGATAAATGGACAGTAAGATGGTCAGAAAGCTGGCTAGAAGGCTGGACCTAGTGGGTAGTGATCAATGGCTCGATGTCAGGATGGCGGTCCGTGTCTAGCAGAGTGCCCCAAGGTTCAGTTCTAGGTCCAGTTTTGTTCAATATCTTTGTAAATGACCTGGATGAGGAGATGGATTGCATCCTCAGCAAGTTTGCAGATGATACTAAATTAGGGAGAGAGGTAGATACGCTTGAGAGCAGAGATAGGGTCCAGAGTGACTTAGACAAATTGGAGGACTGGGCCACAAGAAATCTGATGAGGTTCAACAAGGACAAGTGCAGAGTCCTGCACTTGGGACGGAAGAATCCCAAGCATTGTTACAGGCTGGGGACCAACCAGTTAAGTAGTAGTTCTGCAGAAAAGGACCTGGGGGTTACAGTGGATGAGAAGATGGATGAGAGTCAACAGGGCGCCCTTGTTGCCAAGAAGGCTAATGGCATATTAGGGTGCATTAGGAAGAGCATTGCCAGCAGATCCAGAGAAGTGATTATTCCTCTTTACTTGGCTCTGGTGAGGCCACATCTGAAGTATTGTGTCCAGTTCTGGGCCCCCCACTACAAAAAAGTTTTCCCTCAAACAAAACAAAATCTGTATCTATCTGGGTGGAAAATACATTTTATATTAAAGACAATGTTGAACATACATGACAATGTCTCTTTAAATCTAGAACAGAATAGAATAGACATTGTAATTTCCTTAAATCATAGATCATCTCTTTAACAAACAAGGGATCACTATGCTGTGCCAGCCAATTACTATAATGCACATTTTCTTAAGTGAGCCTTTATTTAATGAACAACATAACCTTTATAACAACATTCTATAAAACAGGCTGGTTTTCATCATGCTTGTAAAGTTCAAGCTCCACAAAATATACTAATGCAATTGTATAATATCTTTCTCTATTATGCTTATGATTATTTCATAAAAATGCTTTATTATAGACTGTGTACATAGGTGGGATGGCTAGATAAAAGAAAAAAACCATGCCTTTTACTAAACAAGTGGTATTCACACACATTCATTAAGGATACTTACTCAAAGAAACCATGAGTGCCACCTATTCATGCAGAGTTCAAGTGGCAATCTCAGAGAGGCCACCTGAAGTCTCTAGTACAACTAAATCATAGTGTGCTGTCCACCCCACAGTCAAGAGAATCAGAGACAGCGTAATGCTCAGGGTCCTGGTGGCTTTGCTAGCCAGCAAAAGATGAGAATTTATCCATCTTCTGTATCGAGACACGCGTACATAGATCCCAGGAAGTTTGGGTCGGCCACATCCAAATCCAAAACTGGTAATCCCTATTAGATAATATTTGCTGGTGTCTTGGTTATAGCAAGCTAACGGTCCACCGCTATCTCCCTAACAAGAACACAATTAACACACACACACACTGCATAGTTATTTCCAGTATTTTAAAATTTTAAGGCACCAACATTAGAATTAATATTATAATTATCTTTTACTAATGGTGAAAAGAAAACATTTATATCTATAATATATGGATGAATCACTATACATCTGCATCTGGTAACCTTAACCTGGCCCAACATACCTATAGTAGGTTTTTCATAGTCCCTGTTAAAAGACTTACCAAGCATTCTTCAAGTCCTTCAAGGCACTGGCTAGGGGTGTGGGAGGAGTGCACAAGTCAGGGCTGGAAGGTAAGGAGATGCTCAGGGCAGAGGTGGGGGTGCAGGAGTCAGGACAGGAGGTTGTGGTGGCTTAGGCCGGGAAGGAGGGGGGCAAATGCTCACCAACTTTGCAGGGACAGAGTGGGGGAACTCATGCAGGGGCTGGCTGGTGGCTGCTCCCCAAGGGTGACCTGGGATGGTGCCAGGGTAGGAGGGGCACTGCTGGCCAGTGGCTGCTCCCTGAGGCTAGGGTGCTTATCCCCTGTAGTCATTCAGGGGCATAACTGTTGCTGCCCTGAGGTCATTCGTGAATATAACTATCCCTGCTATCACATCCCTACCGGTCTGTCTGATGAAAAACAATTGCCTTCCACGCAAATCCCATTGTCCTAGCACAACCAAACCCTGACCTTGCTTTAAGTTATGAAAAGAGGAAGCTGCATACCAAATTTTGTTTCTTGAACAAACAAAAGCACAAAGTCTCTGATATAGTAGACTGGGGAAGTTCTCAAAAATGTATCTCCTCCACAAGTCTACATTCTATCATTCAGGTTACCCTAAAACTACATACCTATAAATCACTAAGGGAGTGATTAACAGCTGTTATTCCAAAATAACAACAATTCCATTATTTTGAAATAATGGATGGCTTATTCTGACTTCTGTAAACCTCATTCTACCAAGAATAATGCCTAAAGTGCTACCAGACCATTTGTTGTTTTTTAAGTTTATTCCAAAATAACTAATAGGAGCTGTGTAGGTGCTCCACTTCTGCTATTATAAAATAACCCCTCACCAGAGCCATTCTAATTTATTCCTCTTGGGGCTCTAACTTGAGATAGCATGTCTACATTAGCGAAGCCTGCCTCAGATTAATTTTGAGTCTTCCCTGTAATATAGATGTGCTATTTCAAAATAAGCTATTTCAGAATAACTATTCCGGAATAGCTTATTCCAAAATAACTGTGCAGTGTAAACATAGCCTAACTGAATTTAAATTCTACTGTCTGAACTATGCACATATGCAAATATAAACAGTAATGGCTCATAATAGGCTTATCGTCTAGAACCCTGAAAATTTGCAGATATCCGCTTTATATCTGCGGATATTCACATTCACAGATGTGTATGCAGATATTCACAGCTTGTTTTTGTGGATAGAAATGTTGTATCTATGCGGGGCTCTATAGATAATTTCAGGGAGGATAGGTTTCATCAATGCTGATTGGTCAGGATAGGCAGGGATGCAAAACCATGCTCTGAAGTGTCTCTAGGGTCTTTTAGCCAGAATGGGTGACAGGGGATGGATCACTTGATAATAAGGAACCTGGTTGTTCCTGCAAGCTACATGGAAACTTTTCAAAGACACCATAATAGAGGCTCAGTTTAAATGTATACCCCAAATTAAAAAACATAGTAAGAGAACCAAAAAAGCGCCACTCAAGCATAACATCCTAGTAAAAGAAACAGTGAGAGATTAAAAAGGCATTGTTTTAAAAGTGGAAGATAAATCTTAGTGAGGAAAACAGAGAGGAGCATAAACTTTGGCAAAAGAAATGAAAATTGTAATAAGGGAGACAAAAAAATAATTTGAAGATCAATTAGCCAAAATCTCAAAAAGTTATAGCAATTGTTTTTAAAGAACATCAGAAGCAGAAAGCTCGCTAAACAACTATTGGGGCGAATGGACAATCAAGATGTTAACAGAGCACTCAAGAAATGTTAAAGTCATTGTGGAAAAACCAAATAAATTCTTTGCTTCAATCTTCATAGTTGAGGATATTAGGGAGATTCCCCAACCTGAGCCGTTCTTTTTACTACAAATCTGAGGACTGTCTCAGCTTGAGGTGTTTTTGGAGGTTTTGGAACAAATTGGTAAACTAAACAGTAACAAGTCGCTAGGACCAGATGGCATTCACCCAAGAGTTCTGAAAGAAATCAAATGTCAAATTGCAGAATTACTAACTATTGTGTGTAACCTATCCTTTAAATCAGCTTCTGTACCAAATGACTGGAGTTTAGCTAATGTAACACCAATTTATGAAAAGGGCTCTAGAGGTGATCCTGGCAATTACTGACCATTAAGTCTAACATCAGTACCAGGCAAATTGTTTGAAACCATAGTAAAGAACAAAATTGTCAGATATGTCGGTGAACATAATTTATTGAGGAAGAGTCAACATGATTTTTGTAAAGGGAATTCATGTCTTACTACTCTACTAGAGTTATTTGAGAGGGTCAACAAACATGGGAACGAGGGGGATCCAGGGGATGTAGTGTACTTAGATTTCCAAACAGCTTTTGACAAGATCCCTCACCAAAGGCTCTTAAGCAAAGTAAGCTGTCATGCAATAAGAAGCCTGCATTGATTGGTTAAAAGACAGGAAATGTGATAGGAATAAACGGTCAGTTTCCAGAATGGAGAGAGGCAACTAGGGGTGTCCCACAAGGGTCCGTACTGGGACCAGCCCTATTCAACATATTCATAAATGATCTGTAAAAAGGGGGAAAACAGTGAAGTGGCAAAATATGCATCTGATACAAAATTGCTCAAAATAATTCAGTCTAAAGCAGACTCTGAAGAGCTTCACAAGGATCTCACCAAACTACATAACTGGACACAAAATGGCAGATGAAATTCAATATTGATAAATGCAAAGTAATGCATATTGGAAAACATAATCCCATCGGTCCCTATTTCAAATAGGTGTTATTCCTAATAAAATGAGATTTACAGAATCCAACATAAGATGACCATTATTTCGATATTATTAATAATGGCGAGATGGAGGAGTTCTTACTCTGACTCCTGTAATCCTCATTTTATGAGGAGCAAGGGAAGTTGAAGGAAGAGTGCTCTTCCTTCGACTTCCTCTGTGTAGACAGTACCAAAAGCCGAATTAAGCTATTTCAACTTCAGCTACACAATTGACATAGCTGAAGTTGCATATATTAATTCGACTTTTGCCCTGCGTGTGGGTCTTCATCCGCAGAAGATCACTGCTGCCAAGTTCAATATTCTGGAGTTTGATTTAGTGAGTCTATTTAAGACTCATTAAATCAAACTCAAAGAGTGCCCCCACCGGTGTCTGGTACTCCTACCCTTGCCAGGAGTAAGAGAAGCTGTCTGAAGTGTAAGCTCGGCTTAAGTAAGCTGATTACAGCTCCAGTTGTGGACTTTAGCTGAACTGCTAGGTCTAAGTATAGACCTGGCCTAAGACATATCAACTAAATGGGGGCCTATATATGCATAGGACCAGATTTTCAGAAGAGTTCCATACCTAGCAGCTCCCATTATTCTCAATTAGGACAGTGATGAAGATAGATGGAGTGAAGATTCTCCACAGATATCAATGGGAAATGCCAAGTTCTGGACACTTCTGAAAATCTTGCACTTTGCTCACCATGATGTGTAGGTATTTCTTGTCAGGCATACACTTACATTAAATGGACAGATTTAGTATAGATGTACACTACACATTTATATAATATACATATTATATAACATACGTAGAACATTTATATAATATACATATATAAGCAATTTGTATATAAATCTACTATATATTTGAGAGAGTTTGTGTGTGTGTCCGTCCGTCCGTCCATCCATCTGTGAGTCCATTTGTTCAAGAACTCTTCCTAAACAGTAAGAGCTAGGACAACCAAATTTGGTATGCTGCTTCCTCTTATTATAAATTACAACTAGATAAGGGTTTATTTGTGCCAGGAGAATGGGATGTGCCTAGAATGTAATTGTTTCTCATAAAACGGAAAGGGAAGGGTCTTGTAGGAGGCACAGTTATACTGCAGAATGACCATGGGGGGGCAGCAAGGAGCCAGAGATTGGAACCCAGACAGCTATAATCTCACTGGGGCAGCAGGGTTAGAGAAAGGGACAGCTATCTACTATATAGTTCAGAGAATGTGTGTGTCTGTCTGTATATCTGTCTGTCCCCCAGTTACAGGATATGAACCCTTCCCCCAGCTGTGCTCTCTGCAACTGCAGTGGCCATGGACAGGCACTTCACACCTGGCCCCAAACTGCTGTGGTGACAGAGGGCTGGGACAGTCCTCTCTCCCTAGGGCAGCCTATATATTAAAGTCTTCATCCCCAGACCCACCCCAAAACAATGATTTACATGAAGAAAAGGAAAACTTATTTGAGTTAAGGATCTGAGCAATGCCAGCTAAATCTTCTAGTATCCATGTAAATACAACCTATTGTATTTTATTGTAATCTTTTTGTCAAGTATTGCATAAATAATTTGTCTTGTTTTTGTTGTTCCTTCTTTCTGTTATCTTGGTATTTCCTTTTACTGTGTCACGCTGTTTTTAAATTCAGATTATTTTTCTCTAAAATCATCATTCTTTTCTCTTGTTTCTCCGATAATGTTTTCTCTACTGATTTGACCTTTGTTTTCAGTTTATTATTACTACTATATTAATGCTCAAATCCTGGCTCTACAAATTTCTATGATAGCAGGAAATAGAAAAGTAAAGTCTTACCTGACAACTATCGACACCTCCAGACTCAAAGCCAGCACAAAACATGTTGTTATTAACCATCCCTGCATACCATTCAAAACCATTACAAATATTAGAAGGAATAATGTCAACCTGAGCTTCCTGTAATATAGGTGAGCCTTGTCCTGTAATGGAACACAGAATATAACTAACATAACCATTTTGCTACTACAACTGTAGCACTTTGTGCACATATTTATTTTTTAGTTCACTGGGACTACTCGTGCTGAAGATTAAGAATGTGAGACAATTTGGCAAATCTATTTATATACTGTTTATGAATATAATTGGCTTTAAGATATTGATTTATTATTGAATGCTTCAGTGTACACTTTGCTGCCAGAGCTGTGCCATGTCTCTTGCATGGTATCTGAGGGTATGTTTACACTACAGGGTTATTTTGAAATATCTTATAAGTTATTTTGTAATAACACGACTACACACAAAATGCATTTCGAAATAGCGTTTTGCTATTTCGAAATAACGCATCCACACTGAGTGGACGCTGAATCGCATTTAAGGCCAGCCAGAACCAGGTCCGGCAGGGCATCAGGATAGGCCTGTGCTTAAAGGGACCACCCCTGGACAGCTGGTTCTCAGGTTTCCCTGCTTATTTGCCTATCTTGATGAGGGACAGCACAGCATTTTGTCTCTGTGTGCTCTGATTGCCCTCACTTGGGACACCACAGCACTCTGCAACATGGAAACAGAGCTGCCCCTGGGCACTGTGGTGCTTCTCGTGGACATGTTGCTGTGACCTGGCTGCACTTTCTGCAGGCTGCCATCCGGGAGGTCCAGCGGGGGGCTGTCAGTATCCAGAAGGCTCTGCAGGAGAGCTTCCACCATGAGGAGCACTAAGAGCTTCCCTGGTCTGCCCCACTTGGGAGGCTTGTGCCTCATTCCTCCTTACATCCTTCCACTTACCGCTCCCTAACCCCCCTTCCTGATGTAAAATAAAATACACGTATTTTCATGAACACAAACGCTCTTTATTTAACAAAACTGGGGTATGAAATGCTGATGAGACTGGGAAAAGGAGGCAGGAGAGGGGAGAAGAGAGGGTGGGAGAGGGGAGGAGGAAACCTGGGAGGAGGGAGCTGGAAGGGGGAAGCAAGGGGAAGAAGGGAGTGGGGAAGCTCAGGGCTCAGGGTTGGGAGTCTTGCCGGACCAACTTGATTTTCATGCGAACCTGCTCCTGGGTTTGCATGTGGCCTTTGGTGGCCAGGCTGGCAGCTATCCTGCCATAGATGGCCGCATTCCTCCATCTAGTGTGGAGATCATGGATGTTGGGGGCATCCCCCCAAAACCTGAATAAGGTCCATGATATCTACCCTGGACCAGGAAGGTACCTGCCTTCTCTGGGCCCTGGTAGGCTCCTGGGAGCTGGCAGAGTGCTCCCGAGGAGGGGTGGAGGGCTGGCTGCCAGTGGCTTGTTGGCTTATGTTTTGGGGCCACTAGATGAGGAGCAGTGACTGCTGGCTCTGGGCTGGCAGGCTTGGAGCTGGCACAGGCACTGTGCTTCAAGTTATTTCCTTCTTGTACATTGTGCTAAGCTGAGCCAATTTCTTTAAGAGGGTTCAGTTGCACAGAAAGCAACCTTTAAGGGCTCTAGGGAGTGGGGGGAGGGAGAGGAGTGTTCTTGGTTGAGGCTAGAGTGGCCACTAGGGCACCTTGGGAAGGCTGGCGGCCCCCTATTTCGAAATAAGTGTCTACACAGCACTTACTTCGAAATAGCTATTTTGCATTTGGTGTTATTCCTCGTGGAATGAGGTTTACCAAATTCTAAATAAGCGCTCCGCTATTTTGAATTAATTTTGAAATAGCAGTTTGGCTGTGTAGATGCTAGTAAAGTTATTTAGAAATAACAGCTGTTATTTTGAAATAACTTTGCTGTGTAGACATTCCCTGAGAGAGGAGAGGTTTGATTACAGAGATCTTATTACAGTAGCTGGGTTTGCCTGCAGCTCCCATTGAGGAATCCCAGCATTCTCCTCTAGCTTCCTGGGCTGGGGGAAGGGGAGCAGATTGCATGGGGCAGGTGGTGGAAATAGGGGGCAAGTGGGTGCTGGCATCTGGGCAGTGAGGACAGAGGAGGGTTTGTTTGGGGTGTCTTAACTTGCTTCCATCTGGGCTGGAGGCAGCAAGAGTCAAACCCTGTCTGTTTCAACACAGCAGCCCTATTTGCACTGCAGACATAGGACTCCCTCCTGGGCTGGAGCAGGCTGTATGGGGTGGTGCCAAAATTTCAGAATGGTTAAAAGCTTTTAGATTGCTTTTGAATACTGCAACAAAAAGCCTATCTCATGACAGTTGCATGATTACATTTCAAACAAAGTTTACATAGGTGTTACTGGCTTACGGTAAGAAAGAAAAGGATTCTTTTAACAGAATTTTTTTTGGTGTTGTAGATATCTGCAAAGTCTGATCTTAATGATTGTTTTAAAAAATCCTATGTTACTAGTTAAGACATGGTAAATTGTTAAAACTGGAAGAACTTTACCATGGATTCTGTTTAATTTGTTTGACCTTTCAATTGGAGTTGGATTCCGGATATGTGCTCTGGGACTTCTACTCTTTGAGTGAGTCACACACACAAGTTCAAACCAGAACTTTTATCTGTTTTTACAGGTCTCAGTTTCACTGCATAGCATGGAGCCTAAACATTCCCCAGAGAAAGTGTATAAGACTGAGTGAAAGCCTTTTACCCTCCTTTCCAGTGTCAGTAAATATTGCATTCATATTTTCAAGGAGAACATGACTATTTCTAGTTGACTCATAGATTTGTTTAGCATCTAAAAGCTGTGCATTTTTTATGTTTTTATTTAATGGCCATGTCTTTGATTTATTTATATAGCTATTAGGGATGCAAATTGTTAGCCATTTAACTGGTAAGCCTTAACAAGTGAGGCATACCAGTTATGGTTAACCATTGGGGGCTAGAGCAGCTTTCAACCTGCCGTGGACATGGGGCTGTACCGTCTGGACTAGAGCAGCCCTAGCCTGCGATGGAGGGGCCACTCCAGTCCAGCTGGGCTGGAACGGTCCCCCTATTCTGCTCCCTTTAATTGTTAATTGGTTAACCAATTGAAGGAGATTTTACATCCCTAATAGCTATTTGCATTATGCCCCATTTTGGTGTGTTTACTAGCTTGTTAGGACGATGTACTCCAACGGTAGTATTTTCTTTATTTGATTTCATATTTAATAAACATCTTAAGCATTGCTCCTTTTTAATTATGCCTTGTTTTAATATATTGTCTTCCATTCCTATGGACTGTTTAAAATATATATTTATACCCATGTTTTTTGTCTGTATTGGGACACACTGCACATCCACATACAACCTCAATAGTGGTGGTGTGGTGCACATAAGGAATTTCAACATTCCCAAAAGAAAATTCAGCCTGCTGAAGGACGGAAAATATTAAAGGGAATACTGGTGTCAGGATATTGTAAAGTCTCTTGCAGGTCCCCATTTTTTGCACTTAAAGTGCAGAGAGTGGGAAACAGTCTTGACAGGTGACCACCTTATTTTGAAATAAAGTCAAGAAGAGCATGAATGGCAGCAGTATCTAGGAAAGAAATGCCAAAGAGATGGTTTCAAAAAAGCTACCCTTTAAACTCAAAACAAAATTATTTAAATAATGCCATCACATCAAGTAAATTCACATTACTTGAAATTACCTATTCTTTTGTTTCACCAATTAATTAAAAAAAAGCATGCAAACATTTACCTTTCTCTGAAATACTTCCCCAACCACTTAGGAAGCACGTACTTTGGTTGTTGATGTTTAGATTAAAGTGAGTAGCGGGCAAGCAGATGGGCTGAATATAGTCATTGTATCTTACAGATTTATATAGCTTAAATAATGCAATATCATTTTCAAATGTCTCCATCTGGAATTGTGAATGGACAAAAATATCTCTAACTCTTCTCTTCACAGTATGTCTCTCAGGTCTGGACGTATCATGAAGGCCAATCATAACTCTCCAGTAGTATGGGTCTCTAAAAGAGAAACAAAATACAGGACTATGTAGCACTTTAAAGACTAACAAGATGGTTTATTAGGTGATGAGCTTTCATGGGCTAGACCCACTTACTCAGATCAAATAGTGGAAGAAAACTGTCACAACCATATATACCAAAGGATACAATTAAAAAAAATGAACACATATGAAAAGGACAAATCAAATTTCAGAACAGAACGGGGATGGGGGGGAAAGTAAATGTCTGTGAGCTAATGATATTAGAGGTGATAATTGGGGAAGCTATCTTTGTAATGGGTAAGATAATTAGATTCTTTATTCAGACCTAGGTGTAAAGTGCCGAATTTATGCATGAATAACAATTCAGAGGATTCCCTTTCAAGTGCAAAAGAGAAACAATTCATTTCTTATAACTATGATACAAGTAAAGAAATAAATTACTTGTTCCCATTCTTTAAAACTTGTTTTGTTGGAAGTTTATGCACATTTTACAACATTCTTTGAAAATCCCATATTAAATATCTTTGGGACAAGTTCATAATGAATATGTAGAGATAGCTGAACTAAATATACATTACTGCATATTTGGTTCCATTAGTACTATTTGGCAAGGCAAATCTACATCAATATTTTCAGATAATATTCAGATTTGGCTACCCAGTCATGACTTGGAGGTCAGAGTGAGTTCTTTAGCAGCAGAGATTTTTTTTAAAGGAATGTGGAATGTTTAGTGGAACGTGGAAGCATAGAATCTTGACAGTAAAAGAAACAATTATGAAAACAGGATCTGTAAAATAAGTATAGAGGTGAGATTCTAAGACGTGCTGCACAGGACTTGTGGCCAGGCAGAAGCAAAAGTGGCACTGGGCTTTGTACCCTCTAGATTCTGGGGTGCTCTGGGGCTGGAGAGGTACCTGCCCATTGTAACTTGAGAACTCTGGAGGCCTAAGGATGTATCAGTAGATTAATAAATCTCTTGAGGCATTTCGTACTCTAAAATAATATGAAAAATTAGCCTCTGAAAGTTGGTTTTCTAAATAAAGGTTTTACAACCTAGTAGACTAAAAGAGATGAGGAGTGTAGTTTAGAAAAACTGAAAAATCCACTGCAATGTTTGCTATCCAAATATTGCAACATTTTGCTAGTGCAGTACGAAGGTTACTGAACAGTACAGCTGACTGAGATAAAACATTCCTGGAAAAAAATTAATCTTTTAGTAAAAAACCTGAAAAAAACCTCAGTCCACTCTAAGCTTGCCCTCTACGTTGGGACCGTTGATGTGGAGCTCCCAGCCCTGGGGATGCAGAGACCTCCAATTATGATTACTTTGACTATAGACCCTTTAGTGGAGGGCTACCGATGGGCTTACGTTGCACAAAATGACTTAATACCAACACTAGGGAATATTGGGACACAGGAGTTTGGTGATTATTGCCCATTAATTGTTTTGCAATCTTAGATCTCAATCCATGTGAATCTGGCAAAACGCCCACTGATTTCCATAATATAGCATCTGGTCCTCCATTTTGTTCACTGATAATGCCAATAGCATTTAAAATTACAGGAGGCCCCCGCTTTACAACCCCCCCACACACTTACGACCTTTTCCGTAAGTGCAGAAGGGGCTGAAATCCCCCGACTTATGTCCTCGGCCCCTCATTTACGACGGCGCATGGTGCCTCTCATAAATGTGGGCTTGAGTTATGATGCCCCCGATCTGCGACGCTATCTCAATGATTGCATCGCAAGTCAGGGGCAGCCAGTATCCTGTGCCAGGTGATTCATATCTGGTCAATTATATCTTTCTCACACTTAAGCTAACAGAAGAGGATTTAGAACTGAATACGTACATTTGTCGTCTAACACAATGTGCTGCTGTCAGCACTGAATACTCATTAATTAAAGATCCACCGCACAGATGTTTAAATCCTACACCATTTTGGTAAACTTGGAGACTAACTTGCCACGGCCATGCTCCAAGCTGTGCATCATGTCCACCTACAATCCGAGGTCCTGATATCATATCCACCAGTACCCTTTCTCCACATGCTACAAACAAAATAAGTCAAACTGTTGAGATTGCAATATGAAGAGATTGTACATTTCTAGTATTTTCTGCAAGAGATTTACAAAAGGTTTATCAATGCTATTACAACTATCATTTGCATTTCCATTTAGAGCCCTGATTCAGCTAAGTGCTTGTCATCACTTCACATTGGCTCTATCTTTAAGTGCTTTGATTAATAGTGATCACTTAAGCAAGTGGTTGAATGTAACTATGTTGTCAAGTGCTCTGCTGAATCAAGGAACAGTTGCACAGAGGTATATATGTATTGTAGTGGTGTCTTATTGTGCTTATATAATGTGACTGTAATAATTAATTTAAAAGTATTAATAAAAATAGTGCAAAATCTTCTTTAAAGCTATGCAAAATTTTAAGTCTAATTAACTTGTAACATCCATTGCATTGATGCCCAAGGCCATCAAAGAACTTTTTTACAAAGAGTGTGTAGTATTATGTGAGGTGGGGTAAACAACATAACTCATCTGCATTTACAGAGCGGGTTGAGGGAGAGGGGTTTTGGGCAGCAGGGCCACTTACCTGGGTCAGTAGCATGCAAAAGAAAGAGTTACTCACCTTGTGCAGTAACGGTTGTTCTTCGAGATGTGTCCCCGTGGGTGCTCAACTCTGGGTGCTGGTGCGTCCTCGCGCCGGCGACCGGAGACTTTTCTAGCTGTTTCTGCCGCGGCGCGCAGGCGCCGTGGCGCCCTCTAGTGTTGTTCGAACTGAAGGGCGCGCGCGCGGCTCCTCCGTTCCTTCTCTACCCACCAGAGCATCAGGCTCCAAGCAGGGGAAGGAGGGAGGGTAGTGGAGCACCCACGGGGACACATCTCGAAGAACAACCGTTACTGCACAAGGTGAGTAACTCTTTCTTCTCCTTCGAGTGGTCCCCGTGGGTGCTCCACTCTGGGTGACTACACAGCAGTTGTCGGCTCGCGGAGGTGGGTTTGGAGCCATGTGGTAGTAACTGTAGACAGCACTGCATGTCCCACTGCCATGGAAGATGCTATAGAAGAGAAGAGTGCATAGTGCTGCGCAAAAGTGTGGTCAGATGACCAGGTGGCGGCTGGGGGGAAAAAT